GGTTCGGAATTGGCCCCAAATCTTGCTATAGAGGTGGACCTGGGCAACGCCTCTTGTCATGACCAGGTTGTCTGCACTTTGAGCAACGCTTTGGACCTCGTCGGGCAAGTTGTGATTGATCCATTTCATTGTGAATCCTTTCGGTCCTAGGACGACCTTTGGTGCGCTTTAAGTGCAACGGTGGGATAATCAACTTCCCATTGTCTACAGGCCAATAAGCTTCATCCGGCAGGGGGCTGAAACTTGACGAGTAGGAGTTCCTGATTGCCTGTTCCGTGTAGTAAGGACTAACCAAACTATAAGCACTGACGGTTATCGACTTAGCTACTGCCATTGCATGTGAACAAGGTACTCTTCTGTTTTGATACTTTTGGCATGTACACTCTCCGGTGCAAGTTTCTACGTGTAGAGTAACGGATTGACGATTATGCCCACGTCTTCCTCCACCCCATATACCTGTTTGCACAGCAAAAATACCTTCATTGCGGTTGAACAGAACAACTCTGTGCTTACTTGATTTCTCTTCGATCTTCTGCATGCCATCAAATATATGATGTGCTATTGAATGAACAGCACGCTCCCTCCCTATAGCGAGCTCCCGTCTCTTCACAAACCACTCGTTTACCTTCCAGTATGTCATCTCCACTAGGACAGATACATGCATTGCCCTAATTCCCTTGTAGACTCCATTTATGCTCTCGCCATGGTTGGTAGTTGCAATGTCGAATCTAGCCCCGTCGTCCATGTGAAATGTCCACATGTGCAGATCTTGACCTTCTGCCCATATTGCTCCCGCCCGGTGTATCTGACGGATCGTCTTCATCTTCTGCTCGTACTTTTTTGGTTAATGTGCAACCGCTACAAGACCGGAGAATAAATAATTAAGCCATACGAAATTTCATTGCAACAATAAACCATGAACAAGCACTGAATTACATTACTACCTGCACTCCACAATTGATCTCTTATGTCTTTCTTCTTGCCAAATTTGTGTTGGAAATTGGCAAGGAAGTGACGAATACACCAGCGCCATGTCCATCCCCATTCGTCGGGAAAACCACCGATGGCGTGTTTAATCCCGGCATGTCGATCCGATATAATTGTAATACCCATTCTTTGTGTGACGTGGGCGTGTAGCTGGTCAAAGAACCATGCCCAACTTAAGTTGTTCTCCCCTTCAACTAATGCAAATGCTAAGGGGAAAATACTTAAATTTCCATCAACCCCAGTTGCAATGAGAAGAGTTCCTTTATACTTCCCAGTAAGGAAAGTTCCATCAACCTGTTAAAAATGAATAATTAGTTAGTAAAAATTTAACTTAGTAAGGTAATGAACTAGTACAATAGTTTGAGTCCGTAATGTACCTGAATCACTGGCATGCAGAAGGGAAACCCGTCAATGCATGGCTTGAATGTCCAGAACAGACGATGAAACATCAACTCATTCTGTACTCGAACTTGATCTTCAGTTTGCACGTTGTTGTACCACGGCACGAAAACCGTCCCAGGGTTGGACTCCTCCATTGCGGACATTAGTCGAGGGAGTAAAGGATACGAGTCATCCCAATCACCGTAGACCTCAGCCATGGCCTTCTGCTTCCCATGCCACGCCTTCTTATACCTTATGGTGTAGGAATGTCGATCCTTCACCTCGGCCATAATAGCTTTTATCTTGATATCTGGTTGTGCCTCGATTAGGTGCTTAATGGTTCTCGCCACCTTTTTTTCTTTAAGTTGCCGGTGATCCTGTGAAAGTATGGTTGAGGAGCATCTGTGGTTTTTCTCTACTGTTCGCATGACCTAGACGCCCTTTCTCTTCATATATGCAGCCCGAAGTTGCCACATACAACCCTCTCCAGCATTCTTACAAATGACATGCAGTTGTTTGGTGTCAGAATATTTTACCTTCCATTCGAAGTTACGCCGCATGGCTTCTTCGCTAAAAGCATCTTGCACATCGGCTTTCGAAGTGAACGCCATACCCACTTCCAAATTAGCAGTCGGATTATACACAGGCATGGGCCGAAAGTCAGGGGCATCATTCTGACCATATAAAAATTGATCAGGAACCTCTGTGTAGTAAGGCGTTGGTGCCTGACGGAACGCCACCTCTCTGTCATCGATATCGTTGATATCGTCCGTATCTTCCTCCTCACTGACTGATCTCAAATCTTCCTCACTTTCATCGTCACTAGAGGCGAATGGATAGCTCGACTCAGGATGGTCATCGTTACCAGCATAACCAACATCGTCTTCTTGGTCATGCGAAGTACGCCCAGATCGAAGGGTGTTCTCAATGTCAGCCCACTCTGGACCACAAGCAGGCCATTGATCACCGTCGGGCTGAACGATATTGACGGCAGTCTTAGCATGTTGCTTGAAGTTGCTTGAAGTACCACCCCAGCCATACCCTCTTGCAGAAGTACCTCCTCCGTAGTTACTTGAACTACCACCCCAGCCATACCCTCATGCAAAACCATCATCACAAGAATACTGGTGAGAATGAGTTTCACCGACCAGCTCGGTCTCGACATACACCTCTGCAAGCCGCACCTCGTTGTCAGATAGGAACTGTATCATCATGTTCACCGAGTCATCATCATTTATGACAACTTTTTCATACATGATTCCGCCAGCACTCATGTTTGGATAGCGGTAAGCAATTTGACCAACTCTCCTTTGCCCGCCCGTACAAGTCCTTTCTGCACAAATGTCATGGAGTTCTTGCCACGAGAATCTCGACTCAATTTTTAGCATAGTGGATTCGCCATTTTCATAGTCAATCCCAATGTTCGAGTTTGTCACCCGACCATTCCACCGAATAATAAGCCGAAACTTCTTAAATTTACCCATGTCTGCAATTTATAATAATTAAGTATAGTATATAATTAGTACATTAGGGATACAAAAACAATATCATCCAAACCCATAAACAAACGCATGTAATTGATCTATCATGAGAAAACTAAGCAAATTCATCTAAATTCATAACTAACTAACTAACATCTATCATATCATAATTAATCTAAATATATCATAACATATTTTCCAATAACCGCAATTCACTAAATACAGACATATAATTACTAACACATCAACATGTAAACAATACATAATTATAACATACCGAAGCCCGATCTATCATGAGAAAACTAAACAAATTCATCTAAATTCATAACTAATTAACTAACATATATCATATCATAATTAATCTAAATATATCATAATATATTTTCCAATAACCGCAATTCACTAAATACAGACATATAATACCTAACACATCAACATGTAAACAATACATAATTATAACATACCGACTCCCGATCTATCATGAGAAAACTAAACAAATTCATATAAATTCAGTACTAACTAACTGACATCTATCATATCATAATTAATCTAAATATATCATAACATATTTTCCAATAACCGCAATTCACTAAATACAGACATAAAAATTACTAACACATCAACATGTAAACATTACATAATTATAACATACCGAATCCCGACGAGTTTCTTGAGCAGTAAACCAACTCCAAACCAGCTGAGAAAACGAATGATAAAACAATAATTTTTGTACTAATTTGCTGTAAGGTAGCAAGAGGGGAAGTGGTGGTCAGTATTTATAGGAAAAAATGGCAGCTAATCACCGCTGTGGACAATTGCGGTGAACATATCACTGCTTTTGTCCAAAGCGGTGATAGCTAGGTCGCTGTGACCTAATTTCCCACCTACCAGGGCTCTAAAACGTGGTCAATTATTACCGTTTTGGTCGATGACGATGATGTGATCGTTTTTGTCGACGGCGATGATGTGGTCTATTATCACCATTTCGCACAAGCGCGGGGAATGCATCACCGTTTTGGTTGAAAGCGATGATGCTATCACCGTTTTGGTCAAAAGAGGTGATTGCAATCACTGTCTTGGTCTACAACAGTGATGTTGAAACTGCTGTATTTTGGGAAATAAGTTTATAAGTACTATATTTAGGGAATTTTTTTTAATAAGTAGAGTATTCTGGGATTTTTTTCCTTTACTTTAACACTAAAATATTAATACTGAAGTTAACAATGAGGCACTAAAGGCTGAACTTTTAATATAACTTTCACAGTTCACAAAATACTCATTAGATTTTTCTTTTATGCTTCAAGCCCTTGACTCATGTTAAGAATGCTCACTCTGAATCTTGACACTAGATCATTTTATGGTTTCTCTAAAATCTTCTACAACGACACTCTCATGCATGGATGCAAAATGGTCAAAATTCTATAGCATATTAGTTCATGCAAAATAAGTAAGGTTAATGTTGTATTGAGGATGGTTTTCACTTCATCGTGGTAAATCTTCAACATGCTACTTCATATTGTTGATCAATCTCTACTATACCCTATATATTCTTTCACATGATATAATTTCATATCTATAACGTATAGTGATGAATAAAGATGGTAATTATTGAGAAAAAATAGTTGATTAAACTACATGAATGAACACTCATTTTCTTTTATGATTAAGAATGATTTTGTGTGTGATGGAAGAAAACTCTCATGTTGTCCTACATAAAATACAAAATAAATAGACACCATTTACTTTCTAAATATCGCTATTAGTTGTTTATATTCGTTATTCATTTCTACATTATTTTATCCATACCGAAAATTACATATTATAAATGACGACAACACATTAAAATATATAATAATCAAACTCTCTTGGCTAAGGGCCGGGCCCGGTGTTAGTATAGCTTAAAGGAAGATGCCACGTAAGCAATTATAAAGTGCCATTGTTAGGGGTGTGAAGTACAACAATTCGATTCAGACTAGATCAAATTCATGAGAATTATAGTTCAATAGTTAAAGACATCTTAGAATTAAGATAGGGATCAACAAATTATTTCTTCTGATATGGACTGGTTTGGTCGGTCAAAATGTCAATTCGATATATTTTTCTTCCGTAGTTCTAAAACTTATAGAATCAAGAACCAGACTACATTATATTCGATTTGATATGATACGATTCAAACTTCGATTTGGTCCAGTAAGATGATCTTTCACAACCCTCGCTAGGGAGTAGGGTCACAATTTTACCCTAGTTGATTCAAAATTTACTTTACCTGTAGTACCTAGCTGAAAAGTGACATGTAACATTGCTTTAATTTTGGTTTGGTTGCATTAATTATTATTTTATCCCAAGTGTAAAATAAAGAAGGTTTGGGCGAACCCAAAAAGATGACCAAAAATTAGGGGGCAAAAACGAAAATTAGAGGAAAATTCCGGCTTTCTTACTGTACCGTGCACAAGGAAGATCTCTCCAACCTCGCCGGTTTCGAGTTGCGCCGATCTGAGTTTTTGTCAATCTCGTTTCTTTTTTCTCTAGCGTTTACCATAATTCGTCGAAAATTCATCTGTCTGCTTCGTCAGGTAATTTGACTTTTGATTCCAAAGGTTTTTGTTTTCCTGTCATGTATGTGTTCGAAAGATGAAGGTCAAAACCCTAGCTTTTGTTCGTCGGTCGAAAATTGGGGAAAACCTTATCGGATGAGAATTTCAAGGATGTATATGATTTTCCTTGTGTAGGTTCTGGATGATTGCGTGTTTTGGCTTGTTAATTTGCTCAACCAACTGCTGTCAGCTTAGGTTTTCGATTCTGGGATCTTTAGGGTGTCGGAAGAAGAAATTGAGTTTCAAATTGCATTGAGTTGTATTTCTCCTGCACTATCTTTTTACTGAGCTCGTCTTGTTTTTACTCCTTGAATTTTCAGCCTAAACCTAAGTATTTTCTGCGTGGTCTTGTGGAGCAGAAATGGTAGCCTTCATGGTGGTTTGCTTGAAATTGGGGACAATGAAAAGATTGAACTCCAACGATTTTATTTTCTTAGAAATGCTGCTTCATCTTTAAAGCAACTTCGTCTCTTAGAATCTGTGCTCATTAAAATAAATGCAGTGGTCGTATTTATCCGGTTGTTCCTTTCCAACCTGTATTCTTATCTTGTTTAGGTTTCTTCACCCGAGGAATTTCAAGGTGCAGCTTGAAATCCTTTGAGTTGGACATTCAAGTTGCTGTACTTATATATCTTTAGACATTGTTACGTTTCATGCCTTTGGTATGGAGATGGAGCCATTGGTATCTTTGGGCTATGGTGCGCCCCTTCATACAGAGACTTCAGTTCAGGATCAGAATCCTTGTGCTCTGACATCTACTCCGGATCCCGTGGAACCACAACAGCCTGGTAGGATATGTCCATCCATTCATTTGATTCCATGCGTTGTTGCTTTACTATTTTCAGTGATACAGCCAGCAAGCCATGTTGCAATTGCTGTAATGATTTGTTTTTTCTTTCAAATTTGCTATGCAGTGAAAAAGCAAACTAGGCAATGGGCTGCTTGGACACGTCAAGAGGAGGAAAGCTTCTTTACTGCACTGCGACAAGTTGGAAAGGTGTGTTATTGCTAACTTTTGCAGTGATTTTGATTCTTATCTGCTGCTCCTTAACCTTAATTTTCATTTGATTGTAGAACTTTGAGAAGATCACTCATCGTGTTCAGAGTAAGAATAAAGATCAGGTGGAAGTGCTACCAGCTTTTTATCTATCTTTTTAGTTCGGTGTGTTGTTATTTCTGTATACCATTGCTAAATGTGCTCCTATTTTCAGGTCCGGCATTATTACTATCGTTTGGTGAGGCGTATGAACAAGTTGCTGGGTCCTGGATTATGTCTGGATGCAAAAGATTCTAAAGATACGAATGCTGCAATGCTTCGATGGTAATATGTATAATGTTGGTTCCTTTAAATAGAAGTATGCAATCGTGCGTTCTATCTTTCGTTTTTCCCCCTTCTTTATGTAACCTTTAATTTAAATTTAGGTGGGCATTATTGGAGAAATACAGCTGCAAAGCTTCAAAACTTCATCTGAAGCCACGAAGATTCAAGATATTTTTGGAGGCCTTGGTTAGTCCATGTAGCTAGTCGACAGTTTTTGTTTCCTTGATTATGGAACACATTTAATCTTCCCTATATACTCAACCAATGACTCGACTTATTTCTTGTAGGAGAACCAACTGATAAAAGACCGAAAGAAGAATGTTAGGAAACGCCCTTTGCAGGGGGAAACTGGTTCTCCAACGGGCATCAGCACTGTTGCAAATCAGAATAAAGCATCAACTCAAGATAGTCGGGCTGTTAAGCTGGTTCTCGTAGATGGTCAAAGTATACAAAAGTTAGGATCAAGTAAAGGACCATTAAAGCGCAATGTTAATGTGGGTGTTGTCCGACATACAAATAAAGGAGGAGACTCAGGTATAATGAAACCTCCGCGGCAAAGACGAAAACCAGGTGCAGTTTGTTTCTACTTTTGCATTGCTGAAACCTTTTTCTACTATTTGAGTTGTGTGCATTAAACTTCATTTAAACTTGTGAGCAGCTTTGTTTGTTCCCTTAATTCTTTCAGTGATGAATGCAAGCAATTTATCTGTGTTAAGTACTTCGTAGGTGTGGCCACATCAGCTGCATACCAAAAGTGGGAGAGGGCTGCAATTGCGGGGGTTTCTTTGGTTGCCGATGCTGCTGAACATTTGGAGAGGACAGAAATTGATAAGGATGTGGATGATGGCCAGGGTTAGTTGGTTATGCTTTGATACCCTGGTAGTTTGGTCCTACTTTATGAAACTTATTGAGTAATTGTTCTTTGATTTTAGTTCGAGCACAAAAGGGTCTGGAACTTGTTGATAAAGCTTTGGTCCCTCTTCCAGCTTCTTCACATCTCCAGAATGTAGACAACAACACCTACAGTAGTACTAAGCTTAAGCTTCAGTTCTTCCCAATCGATGATACTACTCGAAGAGCCATGGAATTGGTTAGTTGCACGTGGTTTCTGACTTCAAGTTATAATTTGTTTTTGTATCTGCATAACCTTTACAATTGTGTTTTGAAAATTAATTACATACGTCTCTTTTCGCAGGATAAGCGTAATCCTCACCTAGAGCTCACTCTCAGTGCCCGCAAGAAAATATCATCTGTATTGGAACATCTGAACCGGAAATGGGGCGATTCCTGTGTGGCATTGGGAGAGCTAATGCTTTTCCCCTATGCTGCTAACATAGATAACCTTTTGGGTGATCAGAGATGGACTCAACATTCTACTGTCAGTGCAGCCGATGTATATAATTCACTTGGCAGGCCACCAGTATTTCGTTTGAGGTTTGGTTCATTTTTCTGTGGGCTAGAAGGGCCATCTTTATTATACGCTATAAATGCATTGTAGAATATTTATATTAATCAATTTCCCGTTGTGTTTGTGTAGATATGGTTGGTTTTCTGATTCTGGAGGTGCCGCTGCACTGTTGCAAGCACATTCAAAATTAACAAATGATGAAGTTCAGAAACTTATGAATGTCCGCAAGGATCCTCTAGCCGTAGTGAATGGAAATTCTGCCAGAGAATCCCTTCCGATGGACATACCAAGTGACATTAATGTGTATGTTTCCCAGGGGCCCAAGTGTAATTCGTCGATTTCTCCTGAAAACAACTTATTATGTTCGAGGAAGGGCACTGATGAAGCAACTAATATGAAACAAATGGAAGATGGGGTAAGTTTACTGAGTCTGTTTCCTGTTTATATTACATTTTACAGGTGGTATGCGTTGCTTAAAAATTATTAACTTGGGTCGTCTCTTTAACCATTTCTGACCTTGTAATTTGTTTGTATATTTGCTAGAATGTGCTGGGAATGACCAATAGCACCACATTATCTGCTGGAGAATGGGCTGATAGCCTCACAAACATCAGTGTTGGAGACCTCCTCTCCGATGTGCCTAACGATTGTAATACCAGCAACATTGTGCTGCCTATAGCTCAAAATGATCAATGTCTTCAGCAGATCCCCTTTAGTTGTGATTCATTCGATGCTGCTATTGCTGCCCACATATCGAAACATCAAGACAAGTTGGGGTTTCTACCCGCAGTCCAGCCACAAACGTCATCAATCTGGGATGCTGATGAAACATGTGATGCCTTCTCCTTTCAAAGGAGTGGCATTCTTTGTCAAGAAGCTCCTACAACGTCCAGTTCGTCTCCCCGTGCAGCTGGTGAACAGGTAGCTGTGGAGAAGTGGATTTTACTTTGAAAAATCCTGAATTCCTTTGAGCTGTGTATTAACTGCTGAACTTTTGTAGGAGGTGCATAATAGGGAACGACAAATCGATTACTCTGGTGATGGAGATCCCATGGACGAAGGTCCATGTGAACCAGAAGTAATGGATACCTCGGGAAAAGATTTCAGTGCACTCGCAGACATCTATTGGGTAAGCAATACTTCTCCCCCTATTTCCCAACATACTTGGCATAGCATAGTCTAGTATTTAACATGATATTGGTAAACCATGCATGCAGCCCGACTCACTGGGGCCTTTAGATCTGGACACACCGTCATGTAAATACCATAGTGAAGATATAATACTCAGCGACAGCCTTGGTGGGTTGAATCGTCTGATAGCGAGCAGCTTGGATGCTTTTCAAAGTTGTTCCTTCTTAGGGCTGGAAAAGAAAGATTCAGCATCGACATTGGAAGCACGAGACAGTAGCTCATTTTCAGATTTTAAAGTCGGTGGTGGGGTATGAAGCCCCTTTCTTTTGAGACATTACCATGCTATGAGGAAAAAGTATGACAGCAAGCATGCTGAAGATGAAATGATGATGACGAAGATGGAACTTGGTTTATATACATATAACGGGGACTGATGTTTTTGAATTAGTTGACTGGAAGAGTGTGCTGAAGGAATGATGATATATTGCCAAGATAAAGAAAAAGTGACAACTTGCTGCCCCTAGCTTCTTCTCAATCTTCTGCCTTTGTACAAATGCAAAAAGAACCAAAACTGACTTGCAATATATGCTTGCAGTGCGCAAGGTTTCTTGTACTATTACCTTTGTTTTCTGTAAATTTGCCTCCCCAACCCACCAACTGTTTTGAGTTTTAACCCTGTAAACGTCCTAGTAGCCCGCCCCATCTGGTAGGAGAGATGTGTTTCCTTGGTGGTGCTATATCTAATCTTCATGTATTGGAGTCGGAATCGAAAAGAAAGAGAGACATCTCCACATGACCGAGTATGTTGATCTTCCTCTCATTTATATAATTTGAAAAAAAATAAATGTAAGTCGTAAGAGGAATATTGTGTGATTCTGCCATGATCAGGGCAGTCCAGAAAGTTCAAAGTTCAAACCCCTTTTCTCAGTTCAGTTTGTTTATGCAAAGTAACAGATTTGAAAGAAAGTCGCCGATGCATGGTGTCATGAGGATCCATGTCATGGATTCATGTTTCGAATATCTGTACCAACAAAAACAAAACACTCTAGTGAAAAATAAAGGTGGGAAAGAAAAGAAAAACACCAAAGCAACAAACCTAGGCCATTCCTAATAATCCAGAAAGTTCCCCAGCAACGGCGCAAAAAACTTGACTCGCTAAAACACAACTCCTGACAATGGCCAAGTAAAACCAATAAAAGGGACGGCTATATAGTGGTGCAAGTAATAAATATCGAATCCACAAGATCTCTAAATTTACTATTTCTCAGTTTCGGTTTATTATCTAACAAATCAGATTAAAGTTTGATAAATAAACTACTCATACATGTTACTCTAAATTACACAACTAATTACAGGTTGGGAAATCACATAAGTATGATCCCCCCTAGCCACTAGCCAGATTAATGATTGATGATCTCTAACTTGTTTACTTTTATTCACAATGCGAAGAATCCTTGAATAGACCATGAATCTCGACTAAAGAAGTCAAGGCTCTCTTGAGTCGATTACCTAGAGGGACGTATCCTTCTCCAGAACAACCGATCAAGGCGTTTTGAACTAGATTCCCTCTATCAATGAGGTTCTCAATCAATACGAAGTAGTAAATCGACCCTTGACTAACGCAATAGATACTATCAGTGGCAGATCTAGAAATTTTATATAGGGGTGCTTTTAAAAAATAAATTCAATAAAAATAAATAATAATTATAATAATTAATTAATTATTAAATAAGAAAATATCTAAAAGTTCACGATATGTTTTCATATTTCGAAATAATTGTAGAATACATTTGGTGTATATACTGCTCAAAAAGATTGTCCATGTATGTTCTACTACACAATCATTCACGAAATTATCGCATATTCGATTTCTAAACTTGTTCTTGATGTGGCCCAAAGCTGAAAATACTCTTTCAACACTTGTCCTACAACCACAAAATCAATGCAAATTAAGGGTGACTCGCACGAAACTACACCACAATTAAACCCCAATTAAAGACCAAGTTTTTAAACTCTAATCGGGTGCAGTATAGGGCGAGTATTTAGATATCGACTTGGGCCGGTCCGTCTACCCCTACTTCGGTTGTTGAAATCATTATCTAGCGCTAAAACTTTGGTTTAAAGGTTTGCTAATTGAAATGAAAGAAAGCAAAGGTAATTTGTTTTGATAACTCTTTGTGGGAAAGTCACTCGGGTTTCGCTCCCCCCTAACTGCTACCATGCTACGTGGATTGGAACGATTGCCTTGGGCATGTTAATCGTGAACCGCTAAGGAAAGCGTATGTGGTCGGAGAGCACAATCTCAATCGCTAAACCGAGGTGAGGATGAAAGGCCGTGTCACTCGACCCTTCCTAGTTTAGATAATCGGTAATCGACTTACTTCCTCACTCAACTCGAAGGTCGGACGGTTTAAACACAATTAATAGACTTGTTTAATTCAATATTGAGGGTTGCCTTAACTCAACCTAGTTTAGGTGGCTTAGATAGCGGAAGGAAAACCAACTCGATTTAGTCTCCCTTGAAAGGGGGATTTTCCTCTCTAAACTAGGCTAAGGTGGCAAATTAAATTACTTGCACCTAAATGCACAAACTTAGAGGTGCTAAGCACAATTATGAACAATCCCTAGGATGCTAAGCACAAAACATGCACAAACGCTAAGTTGCTAAGCACAAGTATGCACAATCATGGTGAATAATGCCTCAAACATTGAACTGAACTATACCCAATATCAATCATCCAAACCACATACAAGAAAACTACATGGTAGAGTTAGGGTTTCACTACACCCAAGTGAAAGGAGGTATACTCAATGGTAGAAGTGGGAAGAACAAAAGGGAAAAAGGTGGAAACCATCTTTTGGGGATGCCTCCTATCTTCTTGACCCTTGAGCTGAGATCTCCTTGTGGAAATCTTCCCAAAATCTGCATTGAAGCCAAACCTAACCCTCTTCTTCCCTTTCGTTCTGTTTCTCTCACTAGAATGCTGAAGAAGGTATTTTCTCACAAAAGTGGGCTCTCCCTCTCTCCTCCTTGCAGCTCAGCTTTTAAACCCGAGAAGAGCTGAGTTCACATTCGTGAACCATTAAACGCGTCCGTAAACTCAAGGCAAGTGCCAAAACGCTACGCATCGTTCACACCAATTCACAGGCAACTGCTTGTGTTCACGGTCTTAGTGACCGTGAACTCACCTTGCGTCAGTAACCTTCACATTGGCTCTGGGAGTCTTGCGATTCACGCTCAAGTCTCATTCTTAACGGTCTTGCATGATCGTACACTCCTTCAGTTAGCCGTGAACTGGCTCTTTTTCGCCTCTTTTCCCGATTTTCGATCCTTTTCACCAATCTTTCGACTCCGGGGTTGGTTCCCCCTGTTGGATCCTGAAAACCACTCAAACACGAAGAACCTCGCTTAAAACCGACCTTTAAGGAGCGAATTTGACACAATCATCTAAGTAAATGGGGGCAAAGCATGTGCAATTAGGCCTGAATCACTAATGAACTTCTCAGTCATCATCATAGGATATACTAGACCACATGCAACAGTTCAAGATTAATGCCACAAACACGAGAATTTCCCACCATCCGGCCACTTTGAACATGCAAACGTTTCTTGGAGCCCTCAAATTTTTGAAATTTGGGCATACAAAAGGCTCCAAGCAACATCTCACTCACACAAGCATACTAGTAGACTACCCTCCCACACTTAAACTCGGCATTGCCCTCAATGGCGTAAGAAAGGGATAGAGTGATGTTAACGCTTGGGCTTGGTGAGTGAATGTAGGAATCGAACCGGGGTAGGATTATTTGAGCTTCAAGGAGAGACAACAAAAAACACACTGATGCTCTAAAACACAACACCTAACAATGGCCAAGTGTAACCAATGAAAGGGACTGCAGTATAGTGGCACAAGTAATAAATATCGAATCCACGGGTCTCTAGAGTTACTATTACTCAGCTTCAGTTCATTATCTAGCAAACTAGATTAAGGATTGATTAACTAAACTACTCTACTAACTAAACTAAGTAAAACTACTAATTACAGTTTGGGAACTCACTTAGGTATGATTCCCCCTAGCTCCTCAATTAGGTCCAAGTTGTAATTCATTTTGGTTGATTTACTGTTGATTAAACTGCGGAAGATCCGACAGTAGCTTGGAATCTCTTAAGCTGACCAAGCCCTCTCAGTCTAACTATCCGGCAGACGACTAGTCTTCACCGGGATAGAAAGCTGAAGCAATAAGCACAGAACTCCACTACTGGAATTGGATTCCAGTACAAAGCAGTAAACTGGCTAACTCTCGTATAGCCAATCTCCTACTACCGAATGATGAGACTCTAGCAACCTAATCAGATTCTATCTATCTCAGATTGCAGCAGGAATCAGGAAAAGTTGATCAGACTTCAATTGACTCAATAAACATGCATCATTCGATTATAATCAAACAATATAGCATCCAAAACTTCATACAAGAAAGATCCTAACTCATGGAACTAAGGTTCCTCAAAACCTAAGTGAAGGGAAGTTACTCCATAGAGAAGAGAGAGACTGCAAAAATCTGATCTAGATCTTCAATCTCCATCTCCAAGCTTGATTCCCGAGCTCCAATGGCGAAGAAATCCTCCAAAATAGCTCCAAGAATGTTCCCAAGTCGCTCTCTCTCTAGGGTTCGTCCCTTGGGTGTTTGGGATCCAAAACCCAGCTCTCCCTCTCCTTTGGCTCGAATTTGGGTTAAAAACAGCCATTCCCGACTCGCACGGCCAGGGTGCACGGCCGTGCACATCACCATTCTGGCCGTGCACCTCAAAACGCGGCGTATCAATTAGTTGAACCTCAGCCAACTCGCACGGCCAGAATTGTATGTTGCACGGCCGTGCGGATTTCACTTGTGCCCGTGCGTGCCCACGCACAATCCCGCACGGCCAAACTGGTCACTTGCACGGCCGTGCGTGGCCACGCACAATCCCGTGCGTGCCCACGCACGATCCCGCACGGCCAAACTGGTCACTTGCACGGCCGTGCGGGTTGTGGGTGTGCCCGTGCGACTTCCTCAGAACCTCGCCATGCGTCCGATCCTCGTCCAATCGACCCCAGACTCGCTCCTAAGCCTTCATTCACGTCCTAGGACCTGAAATATCACAAACAAGCACAACCTACCGTGAAATCGGCCTAAAACACGAGAATCAACACCTCAAACGGTGTAAGAATGGGGGTAAAAACATGTGTAAATGACGGTCTATCAAACTCCCCCACACTTAACCGTTTGCTTGTCCCCAAGCAAACCTAACTCAAACCAATGCAACTCTCCAGACCTCTATAGCAACAAACACCCCAGATCGTAGGTAGAGGACTTCCTAGATCATTTAGCAACTTACGAGGTCAACCGAAACACAAGTCATCTCATAGCTTCTTCGGCGAGAGCACTAGTATCGAGTCGGCATCATGGCAAATAGTGAACAGAGGACAAATGAATTGTGGATGAAGAGATTCTCAAAAACAAAAGATCATGGACTCACATTTTTCAAGGTGCTCTATTTTCTTCTTGAAGATGGTTGGAACCCCTTTTATTTTCTGTTTTGCATGTTTTCTGTTATATATATTTTTTTTTCAAGGGTCCCAACCTGCTCTTACCGGCCATGCCAGGAGCGGGTGTCTCGAGCCTCGTGCGGGGGAAAGACATGTAAGGGGGCTGGAGGTAGTAGGTGGAAATTGGGAACGATTTCCCGTCTCCCCTTACACACTTTCGCCCTATTCGCACGGGGGACGTTATTTTGAAGCACATTTTCGAGCACCTGTTACTTTCAAAACATGATACAAGAGTCCATGACAGGTAGAAAATCCACAACACCACACAATTCAAGGGTCCTAAGATCACTAATTCACTCAATCAACCAACACAATATGAAGAAGCAATGAGACTTCTTAAATGCATCAACATCCTCCATAGTGCTACACTACCTCCCTAGGTTGCATATTACTATAAAGACTGTCAATTCAAAGCATACTGAGCAGGCAATTGCAAGGAACACGTACTTGGAGCCCTCAAATTTAAAAATTTGGACAGTGGACTAGGCTCCAAGCACACAAACAGCCAAACATTCACCCGCATACATAATCGAACACCCCCCCACACTTAAGCACGACATTGTCCTCAATGGAGGAAAGATAAGGAGGGTTGAACGAAGTTACCAGATCAAGGGTGAATGATGATGTACGGGTCAGGCAGTGCAGTCCAGGAAGAGAGAGTAATCAGAACACAAACACCACACAAAATCTCACAAAGGTTGAGTTATTGACTCTAAAATCAAATAACAAAACTGACTCAACCGAGGATAAATAGAGAAAGAAAAGAAATGCAAACCGACTGGTTGGGTTGCCTCCCAACAAGCGCTTCTTTCACGTCGTGAGCCGGACGATGGCTCCTAAGTTTCGGTCCCCGGCAACGGCGCCAAAAACTTGATGCTCTAAAACACAACACCTAACAATGGCCAAGTGTAACCAATGAAAGGGACTGCAGTATAGTGGCACAAGTAATAAATATCGAATCCACGGGTCTCTAGAGTTACTATTACTCAGCTTCAGTTCATTATCTAGCAAACTAGATTAAGGATTGATTAACTAAACTACTCTACTAACTAAACTAAGTAAAACTACTAATTACAGTTTGGGAACTCACTTAGGTATGATTCCCCCTAGCTCCTCAATTAGGTCCAAGTTGTAATTCATTTTGGTTGATTTACTGTTGATTAAACTGCGGAAGATCCGACAGTAGCTTGGAATCTCTTAAGCTGACCAAGCCCTCTCAGTCTAACTATCCGGCAGACGACTAGTCTTCACCGGGATAGAAAGCTGAAGCAATAAGCACAGAACTCCACTACTGGAATTGGATTCCAGTACAAAGCAGTAAACTGGCTAACTCTCGTATAGCCAATCTCCTACTACCGAATGATGAGACTCTAGCAACCTAATCAGATTCTATCTATCTCAGATTGCAGCAGGAATCAGGAAAAGTTGATCAGACTTCAATTGACTCAATAAACATGCATCATTCGATTATAATCAAACAATATAGCATCCAAAACTTCATACAAGAAAGATCCTAACTCATGGAACTAAGGTTCCTCAAAACCTAAGTGAAGGGAAGTTACTCCATAGAGAAGAGAGAGACTGCAAAAATCTGATCTAGATCTTCAATCTCCATCTCCAAGCTTGATTCCCGAGCTCCAATGGCGAAGAAATCCTCCAAAATAGCTCCAAGAATGTTCCCAAGTCGCTCTCTCTCTCTAGGGTTCGTCCCTTGGGTGTTTGGGATCCAAAACCCAGCTCTCCCTCTCCTTTGGCTCGAATTCGGGTTAAAAACAGCCATTCCCGACTCGCACGGCCAGGGTGCACGGCCGTGCACATCACCATTCTGGCCGTGCACCTCAAAACGCGGCGTATCAATTAGTTGAACCTCAGCCAACTCGCACGGCCAGAATTGTATGTTGCACGGCCGTGCGGATTTCACTTGTGCCCGTGTGTGCCCACGCACAATCCCGCACGGCCAAACTGGTCACTTGCACGGCCGTGCGTGGCCACGCACAATCCCGTGCGTGCCCACGCACAATCCCGTGCGTGCCCACGCACGATCCCGCACGGCCAAACTGGTCACTTGCACGGCCGTGCGGGTTGTGGGTGTGCCCGTGCGACTTCCTCAGAACCTCGCCATGCGTCCGATCCTCGTCCAATCGACCCCAGACTCGCTCCTAAGCCTTCATTCACGTCCTAGGACCTGAAATATCACAAACAAGCACAACCTACCGTGAAATCGGCCTAAAACACGAGAATCAACACCTCAAACGGTGTAAGAATGGGGGTAAAAACATGTGTAAATGACGGTCTATCACACACACAAGCACAATACGACTCGCTCAAGGCGAGGTTATTACAAGCACAATACATAGTAGTAGTAGTTCATGTCACACACACACAAATAACAAAAACAAAAATAAAACAAGTTTAGGGTTACAAGTAGACAAGTGGGGCAAAAGGACTCCGCTCTGCCACATGTCTCTCTCGTCGGCTACCTCTCTATGGTGGATGGACCATTGCCAGACTCAGGTAGGATACCCTGGTGTCGAGCCATGAGCTCGAGGATGTCGGACTGTCGCTCGAGGCGCGATGAGTATCCCTTGAAGCTCGTCTCAAGGCGATCCACCCTCTGGATGAGGGGATCGCCTGTTCCTGGTGGTGGTGGCTGCTGTGCAGGGTGCGAGAGGGTTGTACGCCGGCGACAACCGGGTGCTCGAGCAGGTGGCTGTTCTGCTACTAGCGGGACCTCGGGGTCTGGCTCCACTGGAGCTGGTGCTACTGCAGCTCAAATGACTCTGGAATGTCGGAGTCCATCAAGGTATTCCACTCCTCTCTCGCCCTGGAGTACCAACTTCTGGTTATACAATGTCTCCACTAGGAAGGGCTCCATTCTTCCTACGCTAGTGCAGTGGGCCAGATCCACCTGGAAGTGCCGAGCTATCCTCGTGATGATGCCCCCCATATGCATAGTGTCCACCTTGTTCCGCCCCAGACACCAGGCGAAAGAGGTGGCGATGAACGATCCCAAATGGATCGGCTCAACTGGACTCCTCACCGAGTAGAGGGCAATGACCCCTCTGTTCGTCATCAAGTGGCCTGACTGGAGGCTGGGGACGATGGATCTGGTGAGCAGAGTATGGAGAATCCTCCAATGGGTCTTCAGCTTGATAGCATTGGTTCGGCTCCCCTCGAACTCGCTCTACTCGTGCTCTAGCCGGTAGAGGGCTCTGAATGCGCACTGGTAGTTGAAGTCGACCGTGTACTGTCGCTCCGTCATCTTCATGTGAGCGATGTCGATTCCCATGGTCTGAGCGAAGCCATTATAGGTCAGCACTCGCTGCTGACCGCCCAGCATAAACTCCAACCGGGGCCGACTCTTCTTGCTGGTCGGGACGATGTGGGAGAAGGTGGAGTAGAACTCCACACACAGCTCATGGAAAATCTCCTCGTCCATGGTTAGGAGCTGGCGTCACTAGGGATGGGAGAGTACCCCAGTCATGGCGGCTCAGCACCTGAACAAGTTAAACATGTCCAAGCCCAGCCGCTAGTGAGGCTCGATCGGGCTGTTACTCTGGTAGGCGAACTTGTTGCCAAACTCCGGGTGGTTCACCAGGTAACTGATGAACTCATGCTCCAAGTTAAGCATCCTGCACAAACACACACACACCATATGTGGAAATAATCGTCATATATCGCTCATTGGGAGGAAAAGAGATCCCCCCCCCCCCCCACACACTTGTTTTTCCACCATGGCTAAAACATTTAAGCTCAAACCACAGTGGCATGGTTGTGGGTATTTCACGGTTCAAACACACAAAAATTAGAACCACAACCCCTACCACGGTGGCTACCATTCACCAATCAAAAACAAACTCCACTTGCATTCATAACATAGCACTTGGTGGGCAAATTCTAAAAATAAACACAATTCGGTTCAAACACGCTCACCAAGGCTCACTAAGCTCATGCAATAATCAATCACACGACCTAATTCACCTAAGTCCTCACCCTAAATCTAGATTCAATCATGCAAAGCACAAAACTTAACCTCACTTCACTACCTAATCCGATTCTCCACAATTCACAAAGGTAAAGTTGAAAAACAAACCTGGAGACTCAAGTAGGACGAGGGAGGAAGTGAGGTGCGGGCGAGGACGGTGAAAAACGGTCGGAAAACTGAGCGGAGAGGGGTCGCCGAAGCTTCGTCGGAAGGTCGTCGCCGGTGACTTGGTCGGAAAAAAATATGCTCCAGATCTCCCCAAAATCTCAACACAGGCTGGTTTTGAGGAGAGAAGGCTGGGTATGACGTTGGTTTTGGGTTTTGCTCACCAGGTTTGGGGGAAAAATCGAAAAAACGACGGGTTTTTGCATTTTTCCGGCGAAGATTTGAATTTTTCGGTGAGAATTTGGTTGTGAAGTGAAGGGTCTCTGTTCACGCCCCTTTTATAGGCACAACTCTGAGTTCACAGACGCGTTACCCAGTTGACGGTCTTAGCGACCGTGAACTCGCGAATGCGTCTGTGAACACGAAGTGGTTGATAGGTGGTGAACATGCATCAGCGCCCAGTTCACGAACGCGTTTGCCTCTTCACAAGATACTAAAACGAAAACTAAGGAAAAGAAAAGAAACATCCGTTGGGTTGCCTCCCAAAAAGCGCTTGTTTATCGTCATTAGCTTGACGGTTGGGGATCAATCACGAATTCAAACATGATGCCACCGAGAGCGGATCCTCCACACTCTCGGGGCGAGGCTTGTAGCCTCCCATCTTAGGCTCCTTGAGTTGGCCCTCTTGGTTGGCCAACATTGCTTCGGCCCCTCCCTTCTTCCGGGTCAAAGCTCCCTTCATCCTTCTTCTCCAAGCATTCAATCTTGGTCCTTTTGGCTTAGGATCCTTCTCATTTCCCGCTCAACATCATCAAAGACAACACAAGTAATGGTGGGTTTTGCCTTAGAAGGCTCTCCTCCACTCTCATTCACATCATTTGAAACTACCCCCTTCACTTCATCACTCCTCACCCTAGGATCAATTTCAAGCTTGATTCTCTCCTTACCATCCCTCAAAATTAGGGTTCCCTCATTAACATCTATCAATGCCTTGGCGGTTGCAAGAAAGGGACGACAGAGGATGAGGGGCATATCCGAGTCCTCACTTATGTCGAGAATCACGAAATAGGTCAGACTGCAAAACTTGCCCACTCTCACCATCATGTCCTCCACTATACCTCTTGAGCTAATGAACGAACGGTCGGCTAAGGTGATGCTAAGCTTAGAGGTCTTAAGTTCACCTACTTCTAACTTTTTGAAAAGCTTGTAGGGAATCACATTCACACTAGCTCCTAGGTCCGCCAATGCATTGTCTCTATGGTGATCACCAATATCAAGAGGGATAGTAAAGCTACCTGGGTCGGACCGCTTTTTGGGCAAGCGGTCGAGGAGGAAAGCCGAGCACTCCTCTCCTAGAGTCGCGTTGGCGAGGCCTTCAAGCCTTGGCTTCTTGATGAGGAATCCTTTGAGGTACTTGGCATATCTTGGCATTTGCGCCATGGCTTTGAGGAATGGGATGTTGAGGTGGAGGTTGCGTAGCATGTCCATGAACCCTCCACACTTGTTGTCCAACCTCTCCTTGTACATCCTTGTGGGATAAGGTAGAGGTGACACATATCCATCCTCCGGCAATGCATTAGTTGCCGCCTTCCACTCATTCCTCGAGGGCTTCTTCTCTCCCTTTTTCGGGGTGGTCTCTTCCAATGCAGTCAAAAGCGCGATTCTACCTAGAAACAGAGAAGGGGTAAAATCGTAAAGCGTAGAATTAAAGCGTAAAAGCGTAAATTTTTTATGCATACTGCAAAATAACTAAAAACATGTTAAGTACAACAAATACTAGGTACAATATGAGTGCACAGAATTTAGATAATAAATATTTGCAATTCATGTCTAAAGTAGAGAAACTCATAGCATCTTAACAATAAGTTCATAAAGATAGATCTTAACAATAAGCCACCTTCATATATATGCTAATGAATTAGGGAAGGGCCTAGCTGGTGAATTAGATTACTCTATTGAAGTGGAGAATACATTCAAGTACATGGTATGTATCTTTTAATCTCAAATGTATCATATTGTTAGTAATTTACCTTTAAAATATACTTATTATAATTAATTTCATAAAAAGAATACCCATTTACTAAACTAAAAGCGTAAAAGCGCTATGATGAACTTGAAGCGTAAAAGCGTAAGGTTTTAAGCTTTAAAACGCAATTTAGTCTGATTTTATGCACTAAAGTTTTTATATGGAAACAAAAGCGTTTTGGTGACCTAAAAGCGTAAAATCGCAAGCTTTTAAGTTTTAAAGCGCGATTTTAACTGCATTGGTCTCTTCCTTGTTGGACTCTTCCTTCTCTATTGCTTCTTCCGTGGCGACCTCCGGAACCACATTCACACTCCTCACTTGAAGTGCACTCACTCCGACCTGATCCTTGGGGTTCTCCACAGTTTGGGAAGGTAGGGCTTCCTTGGGTCTCTCGGTGAGGATACCAGTAAGGTTGCCGATTTGCACTTCCAAGCTTTGAAGGCTCGCTTGATGGATTCGGAGACCCGCCTCAACCGTGGTAAACTTGGTAGTCGCCACATCCATAAATTGTTCAATCTTCTCGAACTTTTTGCTACTCGTACTCAGAAAGGTGTTCACTAGGTCCTCAAGCTTGGATAACTTGTCGGGTTGATGTTGAAACCCTAGGGCACCTTGTGTTTGGTACGGTTGTTGAAAGTTTGAGCCTTGGAGTTGGGGCCTTTGTTGGATGAAGGTTGGCCGAGGTTGGAAGTTCCCCGTGGGGCCTTGGCAACCCGGGGGCCTTGGATTAGCCGGTGATGCCCAAGCAAAGTTGGGGTGGTTCCTCCATCCGGGGTGATAAGTATTGCTATACGGGTTGTTGACCCTAGCATTTGCCACAAAGTTGACTTGCTTCTCCAGAGTGGTTGCCTCCTTAATTGCTTGGCACTCTGCTATCTCGTGGCTAGTACTCGTGCATCAGTCGCACGTCATTACCGCCTGTTTTCCTTGCCTTTTATCTTCAAGCATAACCTCAAGAAACTTATCCAACTTTTCCTCAAGCAGAGCACTCGCTCCCATGCTTCTCACTCACCTTTCATTTCTTCTTCTTCCACTTCTAGTCAACCCCCAATCATAACCCCTAAGGGCCTTATCTTCAAGTATCTCGGTTATTTGGGGTGGAGACATGTTCATCAACTTCCCTTGGCACAAGGAGTCGATGAGGATTTTAATCTCTTGCATTAGGCCTCCACAGAAGGTTTCGATCCGGAACTGTTCTTCAAACCCGTGGCGAGGGCATTGAAGAAAGTAGTCGGAGTACGTCTCCCAAGCATCCCTCAAGGTCTCGTCCTCGTCTTGCTCGCAATGTGTAATCTTCTTTCTCCATTCCGCCGTCTTCAAAGGTGGGCAATAACGAGCCATAAACTTGTTGAGGAGGTCGTCCCATGAGGTGATAGACCGAGGTGGGCGGTTGTTTAGCCACCTAAGTGCCTTCCCTGAGAGTGAGTATGGGAAAAGCCTTAGTTGCAAAGCCTCGGCCGACACGCCATTAATCGTCAAGCTCCCCGCGAGCTCCAAGAATCCTTGTACGTGCTCTCTGGGTGACTCTCTTTCATGGTCGTGGAATAGAGCAGTACTTTGTATCATCATCACCAGAGCCGGCTTGATCTCGAAATTGTTTGCCGCCACTAGAGGATGTAGGATCAGTGATTGAATGTCCGCCTACCTTGGGGCCATATAATACCCCATCGTCCTCGAGCTCTGACTCGCTACGACACAACACCTAACAATGGCCAGGTGTAACCAATGAAAGAGACTGCAGTATAGTGGCTCAAGTAATAAATATCGAATCCATGGGTCTCTAGAGTTACTATTACTCAGCTTCAGTTCATTATTTAGAAAACCAAATTAACAAGGAAGAACTAAAACTACTCTAGCAAACTATAGTTAAAGTTAATCTAATTACAGGTTGGGAACTCACTTAGGTATGATTCCCCCTAGCCACTACCCAGATTAACGATTGATGATTTCTAACTTGTTTCACTTTCATTCACAATGCGGAGAATCCTTGACTAGACCTTGAGTCTCGACTAAAGGAACAAGGCCCTCTTGAGTCAATTGCCTAGAGGGACGTATCCTTCTCTAGAACAACCGATCAAGGCGTTCTGAACTATACTCCCTCTATCAAAAGAGGTTCTCAATCGATACAAAGCAGTGAATCAACCCTTGACTAAAGCAATCGATCCACTACTATCAATCTATGGTGCTATATTGACCTAATCAGGTATTCGCTCTCATAGGATCAAAGCAGAATCAATAATCTCGACTAAAGCAGAATTGAATCATGAAAACATACATAGATTGAAGATGAACTCAAGATTATCAAGTCAGAGTACTCATACCATCATCCAATCAAAAAAACATAGCTAGGGTTCCTCAAAACCTAAGTGAAGGGAAGTTACTCCATAGAGAAGAGAGAGACTGCAGTAAGAATCTTTAGATGATCAGTCTTCAAGTCCGGGCTTGTTCCTCGAGCTTCCAAGGCGAAGAAATCCTCCAATTCCACTCTTAGAATGCCCTCAAATTGCCCTCTCTCTCTTTGGTTCGTCCCTTGGGTGTTTGGGATCCAAAACCAAGCTCTCCCTTTCCTTTGGCTTCAATCTGCCTAAAAAACCCGATTCTGGGCAAAACACGGTCGAGGGCACGGTCGTATTTTGCTTTTGCCCGCCCTTGTTTTGCCCCGTGTTAAAAACACGCCCGCGCGCATGGGCCAAAACACGGTCGTGCCTAAATATGGGCATGGCCGTGTTTTGATTTAGGCGCGCCCGTGTTTTTACTGCCGAACCTGTTCCCCTATATTCAATGCTTCGTTTCTCCCTCGTCCGTACTCCGAATTAGTCGCTGTTTGATCCCAGACGCTCGTAGTCTCGTCCTCTTTATTTTCATGAAAAGCTTGAATGATTCTTTGTCCCTAAAGTGAGGTAGAAATCCATTCTTCTTCAGGTCATGCCAGAGTTTCTTCTCCCTAATCGCCAATTGATCTCTGATTGACTTGAAACTTGCGCCTATGCTTTACTTTATGTGCTAGGACCTGAAATGTGACAAAGGAAGACAACCTAGCTTAAAATAGGCCAAATACGCGATAATTAAAGCTCAAACGAACAAGAAACAAAGGGGAAAACATGTGCAAATATCGAGTCATCAAACTCCTTCTTCTCCCGCCTCCTCATTCATATGGCGAGCTTGAGCAGCTCCATCTTGCCTTTGGTTCCCCGCCATTTCCTCTTCAATGACGAGTCCAACTTCCACTTCTTCAACTACTTCTCCACTAACACCGGGACCCAATTGTTGTCCCCCTCTTTCACTCCTTCTCCTTGCCTCGGTTAGCTCTCTCTCCCTTGCCAGGAGTCGGAGAGTTTAGTTTATGTCCTCGTCAAGTGGTAGCAAGGGTGTCGGGTTGCTCCGGGTCATGCACCACCTACACACAATCGGAAAACACCAAGTCTAGCACAAGCAAAGAGCACAGACTTGCAATACTGGAAATTAAACGATAGATTAACAACCAACAACTTTTTCAGAATAACAGACCGTCGTTCCCCTACAACGGTGCCAAAAACTTGAGTCGCAAGAAACTACACCACAATTAAACCCCAATTAGAGCCCAAGTTTTTAAACTCTAATCAGGTGCAGTATCAGGCAAGTATTTAGATATCGACCCGGGCTGGTCCGTCTACCCCTACTTTGGTTGTTGAAATCATTATCTAGCGATAAAATTTTGGTTTAAAGGTTTGCTAATTGAAATGAAAGAAAGCAAAGGTAATTTGGTTTGAAAACTCTTTTGTTGGAAAGTCACTCGGGTTTCGCTTCCCAATGACCGCTACCATGCTACGTGGATTGGAACGATTGCCTTGGGCACATTAATTGTGAACCGCAGAGTAAATCATTTTGGGTCGGAGGCCACATTCTCAATTGCTAAACCGAGGTGAGGATGAAAGGCCGTGTCACTCGACCCTCTTGGTTTAGACAATCGGTAATTGTCTTACTTCCTCACTCAACTCAAAGGTCGGACGTTTTAACCACGATTAATCGACTTGTTTAATTCAATATTGAGGGTTGCCCTAACTCAACCTAGTTTAGGTGGCTTAAAAAGCGGAAGGAAAACAAACTCGATTGAGTCTCCCTTGAAAGGGGGATTTTCCTCTCTAAACTAGGCTAAGGTGGCAAATTAGATTACTTGCACCTAAATGCACAAACTTAGAGGTGCTAGCACAATTATGCACAATCCCTAGGATGCTAAGCACAAAACATGCACAAACCCTAAGTTGCTAAGCACAAGTATGCACAATCATGGTGAATAATGCCTCAAACATTGAATTGAGCAATACCCAATATCAATCATCCAAACCACATACAAGAAAACTACATAGTAGAGTTAGGGTTTCACTACACCCAAGTGAAAGGAGGTATACTCCATGGTAGAAGTGGGAAGAACAAAAGGGAAAAAGGTGGAAACCATCTTTTGGGGATGCCTCCTCTCTTCTTGACCCTTGAGCTAAGATCTCCTTGTGGAAATCTTCCCAAAATCTGCATTGAAGCCAAACCCTAACCCTCTTCTTCCCTTTCGTTCTGTTTCTCTCACTAGAATGTTGAAGAAGGTATTTTCTCACAAAAGTGTGCTCTTCCTCTCTCCTCCTTGCAGCTCAGCTTTTAACACCGAGAAGAGATGAGTTCACTATCGTGAATCATCAAACGCGTCCTTGAACTCAAGGCGAGCACCAAAACGCTCCGCATCGCTCACGCCAGTTTACAAGCAACTGCTTGTCTTCACGGTCTTAGTGACCGTGAACTCACCTTGTGTCAGTAACCTTCACATTGGCTCTGGATGCCTTGCGATTCACGGTCAAGTCTTCTTCTTCACGGTCTTACA